CCTACCTACCACTACTCCTACTTATAGGCATACCCGCCGGAGATGGCTGCTGGAGGCCCGACACACCGCTCCACCGAGGGCCTCGCTGCACTACTCTCTACATGCACAAAAGACAAAAATCATGGCGGTGTATCTTTCCATATTCTAGCGGAAGATTCACTCTCGTTTTGCACATTTCGAGAGTAGTGCAGCGAGGCCCCAAATATCAGAAAGAGTCCTTCGGGACATCCGTTAAAATTGGAACGATACAGAGAAAGAAGATTAGCATGGCACGCATAAATCGAGAAATGGTCCAAATTAAAATAAAATTAAAAATAAAAAATAAAAAAAAATCAGAAAGACAAAACTTCAGCTGCGTGTATCTTTTCAAGTTTTAGCGGAACATACCTTCCCGAGACGACCACTGCAGGTAGCAATCACACAGCCGGGCCGAGACCAACCTCGAACCTACTATCTAGAGGGGACCCCTGCAGGCATAGTTTTTTCCTCTCATTGTGAAGGGGAGATTTCATGTTGCCCCTTGCCCCTAATGGTTAGGGTATAGGGTTGGGGCCGCCAGTGGGGGTCTGGCTAACACAAAGACGGAGACCTGCCAGTAGCTGTGCCTCCCTTTCTCATCGTCCCCCACCCTTCATCGAGTAGCAGCAGAGGCTATGGCCAACACTCTCCCACAGATTCGAGCCCTGCACCAAAAGAAAAAAAGACAAAAAAAAGAACTCTCAGTCCCTGCTACACGCGATAAAACACCGCGGTTTTCATTTTCCATTTTCACAGCGTCCACGGACTCACCAACCGTCCGCTTTGCATCCACCCCCTCTCTCCACTGCACAACGCTGCACATGCATTTCGACGCTTTCCCAAAAAGGAAACAACACAAAAAAGAGAAAAGAGATGGCAATGTATCTTCCATGTTCTAGCAGTGGATTCAGTCTCATTTTGGATATTTCTTTGACAAACAGGCAACGGGAGGGGGGTCCCATGCACAGGCAGCGAATCCCTTTCTCTTCTCTAAAGCATGCCGGGCCCTCCGCCGAGATGGTCTTTTGGACACTTGACATGGGCGGGGAGGGGGTGTGGCCCCACACTTAAACATGACTTAAGAAAAGGCAGGTTTTATACCCAAAACCAAAGCCCGGGGCCAGGTCCCACTAGCAGCGTGGAGTTTCCTCAACGCCTGAATCTGGACGTGCTTGTGGATATGTGCAGAAATCATGGTCTTTTGGACACTTGACATGGGGGGGGAGGGGGTGTGGGGGAGCCCCCCCTCCCCCACACTTAAACATGACTTAAGAAAAGGCAGGTTTTATACCCAAAACCAAAGCCCGGTGCCAGGTCCCACTAGCAGCGTGGAGTTTCCTCAACACCTGAATCTGGACGTGTTTGTGGATATGTGCAGAAATCACATTGAGTTTTCTCAACCGCACATCTCCACGGGCGCGTCCAGATTCATACGTTGAGGAAACTCAACGCTGCTAGTGGGACCTGACCCCCGGCCTGCCTTTGCCTTAGGGAACTTGGGGGTATCGCATATGGCTGCCACCCATAGTGTTTCCTAGGCTGAGCCTCACCATAGACAAAGGAAAGCCCCTCACCCTGGCTGCGCCACCACGCTTGGCGTGGTCTAACAGTTTATTGTATTCAGGTGAAGAAGACCCCACTAGGACGACGGGGAGGTTGAGCAGCAGGCTGCAGTTTTTTTTTTTTTGGGGGCGGGGGTGAAAGAAACATCACTCAGTGTCCTGTTGCCAGACAGGGGATGTACAGCCACCCCTGAGTGGCTGGAGCTGTGAAGGGCCCACCCCTGAAGATGGCTGTCATCTATTAATGGGCAGCCACAGGTACTGGTCCCAACGAGAAATCAGATCCAAAAAAAAAAAAAAAAAAAAAAAA